TAACTAAATTTTTGATCCCTGAAATTCTTGGTAATACCAATGTTCACTTTGTCTGATTTTGTTGCAGCATGCCCCATTTTATAGGCCATCTATATAATCAAATTTTGAAAATAATTCAATAAAACAATAGAACTTTCAATGTGTACGAAAAGTTGCATAATGTGATATAGCTCATATTTAGGGGTGGACGATACTGTAGAAACAAGGTAAACGTCTATTGTAGCATTTTCCTTGTTTCTATTGTTCAACCCCATTTGGTTCCATAACATGTGATCAGATCATATGACCATTTTGTAGATCTTTATTTTACATGATTTTCTAGTTTACCTCATCTAAACTTTCCCAATGGATTTATTAATATTTGTAAAATGGTTTGGTGAAGAACCCAACATAATAGTACAAAATTTGTTAGCATACAAGAATATGAAACATCCATTTAATGATCCATTACTCAAACAATCGGAAAATGTTCCTTTAGACTATTGGAGTTGGGTCAGTGACCAAACACATAATTTATCAAGGTTTTGTAGCAAGAATTCTAGTATATGTGTTAACTTGGCTGGGCGTAAAAGGCTATTTTCATCCCTGGAATTTTTCCACACAAAAAGAAGAACTCGTTAGGCATAAGTATATTTATGATTACAATTATATCCAACAAAACCAGATAAAGTGAAATTTTGTACTATCAAGGAATTCAGGGTTCAAATTTTAATATTTAGCACTATTGTATTAGTAATATAATTACCCAAACACACTCACTCTAACTATCATGTTGTTATTTTATTTTATATGTTTGCATATTATATATTTTTTTTTTTCCTACTTTGCAACTTTCTAATTATCCAATAACTTCCATACAGAGTAATTAATCAAAAATATAATCCGATTAGAGCTTAATTTACTCACTTCTGGCTTGTTTTCACTGTTGATAGGGTTTCATTTTAGATAGTGAGCTATTTTCTTTTGATTGCTTTTGGAATTCTTCATTGTTAAAATATAAACCAATAAGATTGGCAATTATTTGTTTTTGTTGGATAATGTGACCTGTTTCTGCCTATCTTTTGTTTTTCAGAGGAATATCATCTAACTCCCTGTAGATATCTGTTTTAATAAATTTGGATTTGAAAAAACCAAATCACACAATTGATTGAAAATATCAACGTCTTCCACAATTTCCGCTGTAGAATTCTTATCACCGAGCTGCAGATAAAGAGCCAGACAAAGTAATAAATGTTGTACGGTAATTCCTGTAAATTCAGGCGAAAGTTTCGTTCTATATGCCTCTATAATCTGACATTTTGATGGCGTGTTTTTCCAATTTTGACTTGTACAAGGGGTATAGATTAAATCATCAATGTTCATTTCCCATAAAAATTTAGCATCACTGGTATGGTGATGTCCACACCATATTGATTACGCTTACAGAGCACAGCTACCCCGTTCTAAAAATTTCAACAATTGTTTTCTTAAAGGCGTGTTAGTCATTGGAACAAAATACATATCCTTTGCCTAGTGGTACCTTAGCATTGAATTTATTATCAGAAATTTTAGTTGTAATTATTTATCATGCAGCACGGCTTGCAATAATTATTGTACAATGGTAGTTTGTGAACAATAGCCAGGAAAATATCTTTAGTTTGAAGAAAGTTGACAACAAGCATAATCATATACTATAATTAACAACAAGCGTGCGACTAGTTCACCACGATAACTAGCCTCTACAACACCTTTCTTGATACTATTCGTCGGCATAGCTAACATATCTGGCATAATAAACTTACTTTCTATGTTCATGGTATATGCAACTGCTTTGGCCAAAGTTGGCTCAGACGTATACTCCGAACGATTCGGTTCAGTTCGACTAGGTTTTAGCTTACTCTTTGAACCGAACCGAAATCGAACCGAAATTTTTGGTTTGAACCGAACTGTTCGGAACTTCGGGCTAGATACTACTTGGCAGTCGCTGGTATTATAATTTTGTACTCTGCTTATTTAGAAATTAAATTTATTAATTTCTAATCTGCTAAACTTATTATAGCAACCAGTGTCTCGGTTGAACGAAATTTTTCTGGAGGCACAGACTTAATTACTCAAATGCGTTGTAGTTTAGAACCTGAAACAACAAGAGTTTACGGAGACGATAAATTTTATATATGAATTGAAAAAAAATAGAATGTCGTTAGGTTTTCTATTCGAATAAGATTTGTTCGAATTATTGTTTATTCGTTATTATTATGAATTTGAGTATTCGAATTACATTGAAAGTTTAGTAGAATAAAACTAAACGAATGAACGAATAACTTTAATAAAACGAATAAAACGAATAATTTCGAATTAAGATTAATGATAATATTAATAGTGAAGAAATGTCACGCCTATATGTGCACTGACTTTCGTAAAGATAGGAGGTATTACTATGTTTTTACTTTGACATCAGCAAAACACTTTGGGCTGCATGTATAGTCACACTATAGAGACTACATCTTCATAAACCATTATCTAAACAGAGGAAAATTCACCAAGCAGCTTTCGTGGTTCGCGTTAATATGATCAGGCGCTTAATTTGGCGGTCACGTATAATAGAGTTTTCCCGATCCTGTACAAACGTTTGTACAATCAGGTTTTAAATTTTTGCCGTACGAGAAGTGCATAGTAATAGTTTTGTACGGAAAAAACAAGCATAATTCTAATGGAGAAGAGGAAATTTCTGGGTCGGCTCAGGAATCAACTTTATCATTGCTTTTCGATGATAGTCCAGTCTAGGGTGGTAAATAAACTTTTTTCAATTTATAATTTTATTAGCTAACTTTTTATTTTAATATCAATCAGAATAAAATCTGAAATAACGTAAACGGCCATCATACTCAAAAAATCAATATTTGCTTTTTACTATATACATTAATATATAATCACGGAGAAAAATAACAAAATCTGCTGTATTTGGAATGGCCCTTCATCCTCATCACTTACTTGACACTTAAGTGATGCTAGAAACAGTCTATACAAGAGGGTGTGCTAATATTGTTACATCCTGAAACCTGACCAGCTTTGATAACATTCAAGTAGGTGACCCTGCAGGCTTCGTTGATACTAGTAGGTAAGTTGTGATAACTTCTAAGGCTAAGTGAGAAATTAATAGAGATATGGCAGTATTTCTCTTCAATGTTTCACCTAAACGGGGAATTTCTAATGAATTATGGCTACGAGAGGCATGCTAAGGAAAAAAGGTGTCTCACATTTAATACCGAGAAAATTTGCGAGTCAATAATTGCTTGGCAAAAGACAACGAAGTAAAAAAAAATCTGCACTACGTGGATCATGTACTTTTTTAATATTTTATCAATCTTTTTTTTTTAATAATAGTAATGTCTAAAGTAATTGTGCTTTATTGAAATATTTTGATTTGATTTTTTTTTTTTACCGTTATTCATGAATTTGGGGAATTATTTATCCATGATAGATTTTACGAAGCTTTATTAAAAGAGAATTCAGTACCATCAGAGAGATTGTTTTCATCGGTTAGAAACATTTTTGATAATAATAAACAATCCATCCAGCTGACATTAATAACTAGTTTTGTCAATTTATTATTTTTGTTACACGATGTTATTATACTTTGTGGTTTACAGGGTAAAACTAGTTCCTTTAGAAAACTAGCTTATCAAAAGAATAGGTTCATCATCATCATCAACTAACTAGCGGTATTGGTAATTAATCATCATTTTCGTCATATAGAATAAATTTTTTTCCACAATTGTGTGTGAGAAAAGATTATTGTCGTCTTTTATATTAAAGTTTATTGCGAATATTTAAAGATCAGATTTTAATGTCTTGTGAATATCATTGTATTCAAATCCGCCTTTATAAAGCAATTGTTTAGCCTATTTAGCCACGTTCAACCTCGGCTTTTGATGATCCATTTTAAAATGGTTTTATTGAGATTATCAGAAAAGTCTTAAATGATAACACGCACGATAATGATATTTAAATGTTGATAAAATTGGCAAAACCTGGTTAAAATTTTAAGCAAGTTATTTTTTTTCGTTATTTGAGAATTTAAAAAAACTCGAGCTAACATTAACAAACAATATATAAATTCTATTCTATTATGTGCATTTTTGTGTAATTAACCACGCCTTTGTCCAAAGTAGCGTGTGTAAATGCTAAACCAGTTATCTTGTCATTGGGTCAATATGTTTGGAAGAACTCATCGTCGCATTAAAATAAAGTTTCTGCGAGAACCATATTTTATCTTGATTGTAGTTGTTACACTTCCAAAATTTCAATCGCTTATTAATTATATTAATAATGAATGACACATCCTAAATCTGACATTCCCGGTGGGAAAGGCTGAATTCCGAAACGCCTCACTCAATTGATTATTAGTCACATGACATTCCACGCAGATTTAATGGGGAAATGTATCATATGATCACAGCAGCAAAGATATTTATTTATTTCATTTTAAAAAATGTTCGTGCCACCAACTTTATTTTGAAACTGTCATACAAATTTTAACTCATTGATTATTTCTTATTTTGATCAAATAAAGGAACACATTGTGAACATTGTGATTGAAACAAAAAACCAATCCCAGAAAGAAAACAATAGAAGCAATTCAGCAATGGGTTGAAAAGGAAAAGAAGAAAGAGATGAAGAATGAAGTCGAAGAAGATAATAAAAACAATGAGGATATAAATATCAGTGATAATATTATCAATAATAATAGTAGTAGTAATAGTGAAAGTTGAATTTTTGTCAGTGCCCCCAAAGAATAGGTAATACTTTACTTACAAATGGCTTTGTGTCCAAGTATTTTCCTCCCATGCAAGCACTCTGACAATTCTTTAACATTTTTATAAATTATTTATGTATTTTCTATTATTAGTTGTATATATTAAAATAAAAATAATTTTTTCTTTTTGCCATTTGTAAAATAATTCCAAGTCATGTGCCCATTAATTTATCATTATGCATAAATTATAACAATTACGATCTAAAAAATTTTTTTTGAAAAAATTAATTAAATTTTTAATTTTAAAAAATGGCAACATACGAAAAAATTAAAAACGAATTAAAAGACGCAAAGGAGATGTTATTGAAGGTGGATAATAAGTTGAACGATTGGGAGGTAGAGTGGAAGGTGAAGTTGAATGAGTTGGAGGAGAAGTTGGACAACGAAGAATATAAGAACAAAGAACAGAAGGAGAGGTGGGAAGGACGAATAAAGAGTTTGATCAAAGAAAAAGAGGAGTTGAAGAAGGACAAGGACGATTGGAAGAGGCAAGTGGAGGAATGGGGAAAGGCGTTAAGAGAATTCGGTGGAGGGAAGGTAACGAACAAATTGTGTAAAAAAAATAGACAAAAAATTATTTTTTGTTCATTACATTTGTTTTATTTATTTGTTTGATATACCATTTACAACTTTAACTAATTTGCAGTTTTTTCTTTCTGCTGCTTCTATCAATCAATCTATTTTAGGGGAAGGTAAGCAACTTTTGATAATTCTTATGTTTTCATACCTACACTACTTCTTCCACTATTGTTGTTTTTCTTTACAGGAATTGAAAGTATGAGTTGGGAACCTCTTTTCACAACCAAAGGCTTGTAACCAGATGCTAGTCTTTTTTGTATAATTTTAAAGCATTTGTTATTACCCATTAACACTAATTTATTACTTTCATTAGAATTAAGCAGAGTTTTCAGCATTGATTATAAAGACAATGATGATTTCATACGTGAACTGAAAGAACAATTGAATGTAATTACTAATTCAGAAGGCTATTTTAATTATCTGCCAGTCATTCAATCATCTGGTTATGGAAAAACTAGGGCTGTTTGCCAGCTTGCTAAATCTCACCCATTAATATACGTGTGTTTTCATTCAAAAACTTCAACTGGGCATCCACCTGCTACACCAAAAAGCAATATCATGCACCAAGAGCTAGTGAATATGAAGAATATAGATGAAGCTCATACTGTGGCATTTTCTTGGCTGAGGTCAATGATTCAAGTATTCTGTGAGATGGGATTAGAAAAAAAATCTGAAGACTTGTTATATGATGAAGTAAGATAAATTGTTTTTATTACCATTGTTTAATATATGATATGCTTAACCTTTTTGCTTTTAAAGAATCTAGCTAATGGATTCTGGGAAAATGTTTATGATTGGAAACAGAAGCAGAAAGACAATAAACAGATTTTAGAAAAAAACTTTAAAAGATAATAATTTTTTTTTGATGAAGTATCTTCTCTTCTTTATGATGGTAAGTATATGGTTTTTTGAATAAATTTCAATATAATCTAATTGACATACTTGAATTCTTTTTCTTTGTTAGTTAACAAAAACAAAACGGATCTAGGATTTAGAGCAGTCAGTAGAGCACTCTTGGATCTTAGACAATACTCATATGGTATACTCACAGATATCAACTCCTCAGTTGCTAATCTAGCACCTTCAAAGGAAGATGATCCATCAGTAAGTATTCAATGAGACTATGAGTATATATTTCCCTATACATGAAATTGAGTGATATGACTTTTTTATTTTAATTTAAAGGCACATGGTAAATTGAGCATCCTTCTATATTTCAACACATGATTGTTTAAGGTTTGCTATTTTTCTTTTTTGTGCATTTTTTTAAGTGAAAGTCATATGCTTATCAAGTTTTTATAGAGGCTTTGAAAAACTTCCACATGAAGATGATGATTTGGGATATAGTATTGTTCCATTTGGTCGGCCTCTTTGGGGCTCTCTTTGGGCTGCTAAGCAAGATGTAGATGATCAAATCAGATTCCAAGATATAATTTGTCTTGCAAAACAGAAGCTTCTTGGTGGTATTGTTTCTTGGAAATATCTTAATGAAGTAGACAAGAAAATAGCAGCACTTGCTGTGGTTTCCAGTGTTGCAACATTACATGTCTCTCCAGTTTCATCTATTGCAAGTGCTTTGGTGATGTCACACATGGCTACATTGGTTGCAATCAGTGAAGATCATAGGTATCATATTATCACATATCCATCAGAACCTGTAATGCCAGAAGCAGCATTAGAACTGCTTTCAGAGAAAAATGTTGAATTTGAAATACTGGGTGAACTGGGCAATGCCTTTCAATCTGGTGGCATCCTTGATGCTGGTAGTCAAGGAGAACTAATTGTGAGATTGCTGTTTTTAGGTGCTTGGTGTCACCTTATCTCCTCAAAAAGAGAGAAAAGCCCCAACAATAAGGTATCTATTAAGTAATGTTCATAAGAAATTATTTTCAACATTTGTTTGCATGATCTCACTCTTGAATCTATATAAAGGTGTTCTTTTCCATTTGCCTTCCAATCTTGGACTTTCTTCAAGAACTCTTCAACAAAAATTTTCCTAATTGTTGGAAAAAAACTGGAATTCTTCCAGAAGAAAATGATTTATATCCTATAGAAATAGAACAAGCCAACAATTTAGTAAATGAAATTCTCCAAGAAGAAGAAAATGCTGTTCAAAATTTAATTAATAATTTACCAATTAATTCACCTCTAACAGCAGCAGAATTTATTTCAATAGATAATGCAGATGTAAGTGTTGAAATGGTAACTGATGAACAAATAATCTTATCACTTACTCCAACTGAGGAAGAAATTGAAGAAAATGTTCCAATGTTACCTTATATTCCAATTAAAGATGCTGTTGCTGCTTTTGAAACTGTTCATAAATTTTTTGAACAAGATAACGATGGTTTAGAATTAGATTATAATGAACTCAAAGTTTTTCATGCATTAAAGAAAAAAATTAATTTGTATGATTCTAAAAGTTTAAACCAAGGAAAATTAACTTCTTATTTTACCAACGACAATAGCATCATATCAGTTATATTATAATAATAATAATAATAATTATTATTATTATGTTGTACAATTTTATTATCATTGATATTAATTAATAAATAAAAAAAAAGTTATTTTTAAAAACATCACGTGATGATCATCAATTACCTTGGTTACTGGATACCTCGTTATAACGGACCATTGAGGCCAAACCAATATGTCCGTTATAACGAGGTTCGAGTGTAAAGAAGAAAATCTCAAGTGAATCATCTGACAAACATCTGGTGGTGAACCTCACTTAGAAAACAATACATATGATTATTCTCCTGGTCGTTGATGATACAAGAAACTAAATCAAAAATTACTAGATGAAGGTAAAGTTACTTATGGAACAGATCCTAACGAAACTAGAGAATGGGCTAAAGGTCATGAAAGACTTTGATTTGATAATGCCAATGTTGAAGAAATGTTAAAAGACTTTTGTGATAGTTCAAAAGAATTGGCTACAAGTTGTTCTAGTTATATTTCAAATTGAAGTAAAAGAGGTTATCAACTTACTGAACAAAAGAGAGAGTATGAAAAGAAAATAGCAGAATTGAATAAGTATAAAGTGCAAGTTGAAGATTTAGAAAAAAAACTTACAGAAATTTTGTTAGTTTGACATGAGGAGCAAGAAGAAATTGATAATGTTTCTTGAGAAGATCAATTTCATAATTGAGACTTAGGAGAATTAAAAAATTTAACAAGCAGAACAGAGAAAGAATTAAATAAAGTTGTCTTTGAAGTCATTGAAAAATTAGAACAAAGTTCTAAAGACCTAGCTGAAGCAATAAATAAGGCTGAAGAATGAAAAAACTGACAAAAAGATCTTTTGAATGATGAAATCAAACAAAAATCACTAATGCTACAAAAATCTGATAAAATGCTTGAAGAGGAGGTAACAAAAAATACAAAACCACAAGAGGAGTCAGAAGAGAAATCAAAAATGTTAGCAAGAGGTGAGGAAAGAGAGGAAGAACTAAATAGACAACTTTATTTAGAAAGAAAACCCTTGCCTGCTTTACCTAAAAAATGAAATACTTTCCAAAAATTAGGTTCAAGAATTAAGACCAATTTCCAAAAATTTCAACACTTGATGGAAAATAAAAAACATCAAGTTGAGAATTTACCACTTGAATAGAAGTAAAAGTTAATTAGTTTATTTTACTATTATGAGAGAATTTCTTTACACTATTTTGGAGTTAGAAGAATGACATAGCAGTAATTCTACTTGTGTTTTTTGCTCTGGTTTGAAAAAGGCAGTTTGTCAAATAAGAACACGAAGCAAGGCAATTGGCAAAATGATTGAAAGTGATAAGGCTTGTGAAAGTTGTAAAGAAAAGTTTGAAAATGATGAATTGCCTAAATGTAGTTGTGGAAGATTAAAGACTAGATACACTTGTGATTGTAAAGAAGAAGAGAATAAAAAAGAACTCCCTCTATTACTTCATCAAAACAGGGGAATGGCATTTTTTTACGTACGACAAATAAATTCTTTACAAGAACAACTAACTAGACCAAAGAGGCACTAGAAGTTGAAAGAGAAGAAGTAGCTAAGTTTCAGGAAAAATCTGAGGAGTGAGGCAAATGACAAAAACAAGAGTTGTTAGATAAGATTAAACAACAAGAAGCAGAAATTATTAAATTGACTCAGAAAATTGAACAATT